AGGTCTCTACCTCGGGCCTTTTCATTGTATCAGCGCTCTTAGTCCTGAGATCAGTCTGCTCAGATCATCTGTCGATCATCCCCATCGAGAAGCGTGAGAAAGTCCGGTAACGTGCCCAAGGTCGCAGCGTGACGGGGACCGAGATGCCGGTCCACGTTAGATAGCCACCCCCTGCCCGGGCCCTTCGGACTGGTTCCCGGGAAGAATGAAGTCCCGATGTCCCGGGACATCTGTCTCTTATAACGATTTACCTTCTTTCCTGTATCGCTGGGAGGGTCCTAGATATGACCCGTCCTCGGGGACAAGGAGGAAACAGTCACGCAGACGACGTTCTGTGTCCCGAGGTGCACGCGGGAGAGGCCGAGTCAGATGGCTCACAAAGACGCGCCGTTAGATGGCCCTCTTGGTCCTTTTGGAAGCTCAGCAGTCAATACTCTCCAGTCTTAATACTATCCCTTCCCAGGAGGACCAGCCAAGCTTTTTTGCCTCTAGACCAGCGGTTCTCAACCTGTAGGTCGCGACCCCTTTGGGGGTCGAACGACCCTTTCACAGGGGTCGCCTAAAACCATCGGAAAACACATCTATAATTACATACTGTTTTTGTGATTAATCACCATGCTTTCATTACGTTCAATTTGTAACAATGAAAATACATCCTGCATATCAGATATTTACATGATGATTCATAACAGTAGCAACATTACAGTGATGAAGTAGCAACGAAAATAATTTTATGGTTGGGGGTCACCACAACATGAGGGACTGTATTAAAGGGTGGCGGCATTAGGAAGGTTGTCACAGAGAGGAAGGGAGAGGGATAGAGAGTTAGAGAACACGATGTCAGTCGGCTGTCACCAAGGAGGCCCCATTCACAGCCCAAGACCCCCCTGCACAGGGCGTCCCGAGAACCACTCAGAGCCACTGCGAAACATGGTTCTTGTTTGTGAAGAAGTGGAGCCCCGAGTTAGGAGGACTAAGCAAGCCTCATGCGTCTTGGGGAGGGCACGTTGGACAGGCCATCCTCGGGTTGGTAACACCATGTTGGTGGTGAGAATTAACCTAAAAGAACAAATTCTTCTTTTTTTAAACATATTTTATTGATTTTTTACAGAGAGGAGGGAGAGAGATAGAGAGTTAGAAACATCGACGAGAGAGAAACATCCATCAGCTGCCTCCTGCACACTCCCCACTGGGTATGTGCCCGTCACCCAGGGACATGCCCTTGACTGGAATCGAACCTGGGACCCGTGAGTCCGCAGGCCGACGCTCTATCCACTGTGGAAAAGGTCAGGGTCTACGTTAGCAGGATCTGTGACTCAGTTTCCTTATTTATACAAAAAGGGGGTAGATCTGTAGTAGGTAGACGCAGTAAGTAGGCTTATTTCCAACTCCGACATTCTCGGATTCTTTTTTTTTATTTTTATATTTTTATTGATTTCAGAGAGGAAGGGAGAGGAAAAGAGATGTAGAAACATCTGGGGATCGAGCCTGCAACCCGGGCGTGTGCCTTTGACCGGAATCGAACCCGGGACCCTTCAGTCCGCGGGCCGACGCTCTATCCACTGAGCCAGACCAGCTAGGGCCTTAAGTTAAAAATCCAAGCAGGGCATTTTGAATCAGTGTGAGAATTCCCCCCCCCCCCCCTCCTCTTGCCAGCACCCTGGGAACAAAGACATCGGCTCTGCATTCAACAGGGATAGTTCTGTATTTTAAAAACAAAGAAGGAGGAAGGAATACAAGAAAATCGCATTAATGCAGCATTATGCTTGAGAATTTAAACTCCCAAGTCAGGACAGTCCCTCGTCATTCCCTTTGCAGCTTCCTTCAGATGCCCGCGCATCCCATTGGCAGCCCCTTCGTGCCGTGGTGGTGCCGTGGTGCCGTGGTGCCGTGGTGCCTTGCCGTGCTGTATCCCAGCCTGGCCGGGGCTGTGAGTTAGGGAGGATTTGGAATTACTTTGATCTTGGCCCTGGGGTGTTTAACTTCTCCAAGCTAATGTCTGGTTTTTTATTGTTCCATTATCTTGTAGCAAGGTAGTCATTTATAATTTATAGACTGTGTCCTGGCTTAAAATAGAGACAAGAGAATAATCAGCATCCTGAAGCTTCTAGTTTTCCAAAATAACGTTTCTTCGGTGCCGTCTGCCTGTAGGAATTGAAACCTGCCGTGCGTGCATTAAAAAACCCTTTGTCCGGTGGTCAGGCAGGGGACGCGTTGTGCCAACGAGCAGTCCTAAGCCCTGCAAAGGGGGAAAGGGATCATTTTTAAAAAATGTCATTTGATTTCATTCTCTGTGAAATGATTTCTAAAACGTCAACCTCTGTAGTGTCTCGGGGGCCTCACTAAAGTCCCAGGGAGGGGACAGGGGCAGAGCGAGAAGGACAGATAGGAGACGCGGCTCCCGCGAAGGACAAAAGCCAGGGCGCATCCCGGCCACTTGTCTGCTGCAGATTTGGAGTCCTTCCATCTGGGCTGCTCCTTTGCTCTTTGATTGGACTGCAGGCCTGGGGGAGGGAGGGCTCTCCTGCTGAGAGCCTCGTAGAGAACACGCTGTTCATTCACAGATATTAAAAATAGAAGCCCTGCGGGGAAAAGTCCTCTGTCGATTCAGGGTTTAGCCCAAGCCAATCGGATATCAGAGGCCTAACTTATTTTTTCCCTTCTTTGCTTTTATACCAAGTCGTCTAAACCCTAATTATTCCCTCATTCCTTCATTGTGCCAGGAACTGGGTGGAGATTTATTTATTTCCTTCCTTCCTTCCTTCCTTCCTTCCTTCCTTCCTTCCTTCCTTCCTTCCTTCCTTATTTATTTTATTATAGGGAGGAAGAGAGAGAGAGAGAGAGAGAGAGAGAGAGAGAGAGAGGATGAGCCTCCTGCAAGTCCCCCACTGGGGGTCAAGCCCACAACCCCGGGCATGTGCCCTGACCGGGAACCGAACCCTGACCTCCTGATTCGTAGGTCGACGCTCAACCACTGAGCCACGCCGGCCGGGCCTGGGTGGAGATGTCTAATGAGGGCAGAAGGAGAGCTGGGTCTGCAGTCGAGTGCTCTTGTTCTTCTGGCGTCCGGCTACGCTGTCATTGAGTCCCAGGTTCATTCTCGCTACGCCCACTGACGCTGTGACGTGTCTCACCTGCTCATGACTGTACCTGGCCTACATCTGAATGCCCACCTGGGACTTGGGGGCCCTTGGGGGTAGGGGGCGAGCCGAGGCCCACGGGCAGTATGGGAACAGGTTGGGTGATTTAACTCGAAAGCCACAAGGTGGCAACATTCACTAAACCGCGGGGCATTTTCTTTCCCTATGAAGATGTGGAACTTATTTTTCCAGCTGAGAGATTGGACGGCTGAGGGGTGTAGCAGCCATTGCTCAGGCCAGTGGTTCTCAACCTTCCTAATGCCGCGATCCTTTAATACAGCTCCTCATGTTGTGGTGACCCCCAGCCATAAAATTATTTTCGTTGCTACTTCATCACTGTAATTTTGCTACTGTTATGAATCGTCATGTAAATATCTGATATGCAGGATGTATTTTCATTGTTACAAATTGAACATAATTAAAGCATAGTGATTAATCACAAAAACAATATGTAGTTATATGTGTGTTTTCCGATGGTCTTAGGCGACCCCCGTGAAAGGGTCGTTTGACCCCCAAAGGGGTCGCGGCCCACAGGTTGAGAACCGCTGGCTCAGGCCCTTTTGAAAGCGAGCCTGTTGAATGCGAATGTGTGCACTACGGTATATCGGTCTCCGCTCGTCCCCTGGTTCAGACGCTGAGAGTTTCAAACTGGAGCAGTTGCCTCCCCTTTGGCCTCAGTTCTACAGCGTGATCAGCGTGGACTGACTCGTCTCTAATGTTGTTTTTCTCCATGATTTATGGCTTTGGTTACAACTTCTTTTCCTATGTTGCTTTAAAAAAACAAAAGTTCTGGTAAAACCAGCCTTTAAATTTTAAAACAAAGTGAAACAAGCAAACAACAGATCACTGGTCTTTTATCAAAGGCCAAGGTCGTGATTTAAAAAAAAAAAAGACAAAATCTCAAGGAAATTAATGTGCCCGGAAGCTGGCCCCCTCCCCGGTTCATTCCGGAGGCTCGGCTCTCCAAGGTGAGGACGCGCATTTCCCGGTTTTCCTGAACGGGCTCTGTGGGTGCTGAGGTCGGTGGGGAGCTGTCCGAGGGAGGCGCCGTGTGTGCTGTGCAGCGACTGAGCCGTTCAGCTCTCGTCGGCATCTCCCCGCTCCTGGTTTTGTGGAGGAAGCCTTCACATTGTTTAGGAGCCTGTGCCCGTCAGCCACCTTCGTGTCCTCTCCGCATCCTGGAACCCGAGAGTGGCTCTTGCTCACAGTGTTTTGTGTGTGTGGTTTAAAATATATATTTATATGCATATATATATATATATGTATATATATATATATTTATTTATTGATTTTAGAGAGGAAGGGAAAAGGAGAAAGAGATAGAAACATCAATGATGAGAGATAATCATTGATTGGCTGCCTCCTGCACATCCCACACTAAGGACTGAGCTTGCAATCTGGTCATGTGCCCTGACCAGGAATTGAACTGTGACCTCCTGCTTCATAGGTAGATGCTCAACCATTGAGCCATGCTGACCGGGCTAGACATGGTTTTTGTATTAGTATTTTTTAATCTATGAAAATATTTTTAAATTCACATAATACTTATGACCTTTAGTCTTAGAACTTGACATAATATCATGCTATTCCTTTATGTTTTTATTTATTTTAAAGAGAAGGGAATAGCGTAGTATTTTCCAGGTCCATCCATGCTGTCCCAAAGGGAAAGATATCTCTCTCTCTCTCTCTCTCTCTCTCTCGCTGCATAGTATTCCATAGTGTAACTGTCCCACAGCTCTTCTATCCGCTCATCTCCTGCTGGGCACTTGGGCTGTTTCCAGATCTTAGCTGTTGTGAATAACGCTGGCTCACCATGTTCTTTGTGGTTTTTACTTCCCCTCCTGGTTTGCTGTGTTGCAGATGAAGTGGAAAGGGAAGGACCTGTTCGATTTGGTGTGCCGGACCCTGGGGCTGCGGGAAACCTGGTTCTTCGGGCTGCAGTACACGATCAAGGACACCGTGGCCTGGCTCAAGACGGACAAGAAGGTTGGGCCGCAAGTGGATGGGACCGGAGGGGTGGGTGTGTGCTCCGGCTCCTCCCTGCGCGAGGGCCCAGCGTAGCTGCTCACCGTGGGGCTTGGCGGATCCAGGGTAGAGAAGGGGGTTTCCTACCCCACCCAGGCTCTCCTGGGCTACGCAGAACCCACCACCATGAAACTGCTGCCACCCCTGGCCCCTTTCCTCGTCGTCACCGGGCTGCCTGCTTTTGGCGTTAATGCCGGTCAGCTCACTGAGCTGCTAGACGGACTTCGTGAATAAAAGTGACATACGTTAGAATATATGTCGTGGAAAGATGTTCTTGGGGCTCATGTGCTTTATGAAATTTTATTTTATTTTAAATATATTTTTATTGATTTTCAGAGAGGAAGGGAGAGGGAGAGGGAGAGGGAGAGAGAGAGAGAAGCATCCATGTTGAGAGAGAAGCATTGATCGGCTGCCTCCTGCACACCCCCCACTGGGGATCGAGCCCGAAACCAGGGCATGTGCCCTGACCGGGAATCGAACCGTGACCTCCTGGTTCATAGGTCAACGCTCAGCCACTGAGCCACGCCGGCCGGGCTAAAAGTCTTTTTGAGAATCACCATGGCCCGACCCAGTCTACTCATTCGTGCAATCTAAGGAGTAAGGAGTGCCCTGGTCCCTGTGATGAAGGAAGAGTGTCCATTTAGTCCTCGTGATTTTCTGGGGCTGCTGAGGCCTGACTCGGGCTCCCAGCAGTTCTGATGCGGCTCAGAAGTGAATATCGCCCGGGGAAGCTGCCCTCTGTGTGGGTTCATCCGTGCACACAAAGACATACTCGCCTGCTTACCTGCCTACCTAACCACGAAGATGGTTGAGACCAGGGCCATATGTGTTTCTCAGTGAATCTCAGAGGAAGTCAGTGTCTAATTCTTACCCCAAATGGAGCCTGATTTTATTATCTGCCACATGGCATGATAAACAAAGCCTCCCGACTTCTGCCACTTTGACTCTAAACTCACATGTTCACATTACTTACAGATGGACACTCATCTGAGTCTTCGTGTTGGAATCCCCGCAGCTTATAAATTTCACACGGTATTCCCCAATGATCTCGAACGTCAAGTTGCCCACCTTGTGCCCATGTCAGCAAGCTCGTCCGAGATCAGCCCTAGCCGGTTTGGCTCAGTGGATAGAGTGTCGGCCTGCAGACTGAAGGGTCCCGGGTTTGATTCTAGTCAAGGGCACATGCCCAGGTTGCGGGCTCGATCCCCAGTGGGGGGCCTGCAGGAGGCAGCCAGTCAATGATTCTCTCTCATTATTGATGTTTCTATCTCTCTCTCTCCCTCTCCCTTCCTCTCTCTGAAATCAATAAAAATATATTTAAAAAAATAAAAATAAAAATCTATAAAAAAACATTTAAAATAAAAAAAAAGATTATCCGAGATCAGGTTTATGTTAAGTCTTCTGGGAACCACCCATTGGAATTTGGACCGGGGCGTGGAAAGCGATCTACCAAAGACAGCAAAGCTTCCTAGTATCTTCTTGTGATTCTCAGCGAAGTGAATTTAAATCGTCTCCCCGAGTGTTGGCCAAATGGCTATCGGACTGGGGGCATCAGGAACCAGGGTGCCTTGCTGCTCAAAGGAAATCAACTGTGACCCATGTTAATGGGGACTCGGAGCCTGTCACATGGCATGTTTATGGCCTGGAGGGAAACTCGTTCTGGAGAGCAGATGGCGCAGGCTTTTCGGGGGGTGGGTGGGATCGCTGGGAGATGAAAGGCGTGTGGCTTACTGCCTGCGCCCACGTGTTCTTGTGGGGCGTCTCTGGAGGTTCCTTGAAACACAGGGTTGCCACGAGGGACACGTTCCACGTCTCCTGCTTAGCTGGTGTTCAGCTGATTTGACAAAGATTCAGTTCATCGTCCGAAGCTCCGTTCCAATATGGACCTGGATGTTGGGGGTTGTTGGCAGCAAGAAAAGAGAATAAAGAAATATTTGCCACTATTTTCAAAAACGTTAGAAAAAAACATTCCGCCTACGATAAAGGCCGGCAGCCCAGGACCTTGGAGTCAGACATTTATTATTGTTGACGATCTCTGTGGCCTTGAGAACATCAGTGCCTTCATCTTCGCTCTCCTCACCCCTCGGGCACCCGTTAATTAGCTTGGTTCAGAAAGGCCGTTTGAAGTAATACCTCTTGTTAGTCACAACCTCTGGGAAATGTGATGAATTTATTACTTTTTAAATATATATATTTTTATTGATTTCAGAGAGGAAGGGAGAGGGAGAGAGATAGAAACAGCCATGATGAGAAGAGAGTCATTGATCGGCTGCCTCCCTCACGCCCCACACTGGGGATCGAGCCGGCAATCCAGGCACGTGCCCTGACCGGGAATCGAACCAGGACCTCCTGGGTTCATAGGTTGATGCTCAACCACTGAGCCACACTGGCCGGGCATGTGATGAATTTAGAGGAGGAAAAATATCTATATGCTCCCTGCAAGAGGTTCTTCGATGGGGGCATTGGGGAGAAGAGGTGCCAACGTAGCCTGTTTTGTCTTTTGCTCTGCGATCCTGCAGGTGCTGGATCATGATGTTTCGAAGGAAGAGCCGGTCACCTTCCACTTCCTGGCCAAGTTTTACCCCGAGAACGCGGAGGAGGAGCTGGTTCAGGAGATCACGCAGCATTTATTCTTCCTGCAGGTACAGTAGTCCGTGCTTCCCCCCCCCGCCCCCCCACTACGGGAAAGCCCGCCCAGGCGTGGTGGTTGCAGAGGCGTCAAGGTGGCCTGCGGGAGGAAGACTGTCCGTGTCGTCCCCGGAGCTTCACGCGGTGAAAAGGTCCCACGTCCAGAAAGCCGATCCTTTCGGTTCCGGGACGGACAGCGCCTTTAGAATAGGACTAGATGTGAGTGGCGAGAAGCGGTGTCGGGCGAAATGGCAAACGTGTGATGGTGAACGATTGGGGACAGGGAGCCGCCTGATTTGAAACCTCTTGGACGACAGATCCCGTTTTTCTGCTCGCTAACCTGAAAGTCCTCAGCAGACGCAAAGGGAGCCGGAAGGGAGTCTTACAAAGAATAGTTGTCCCAGGAGTTCAGTGTCCGTTCTCGTTAAGGCGGGAGTCCGGGACGCCAGCGCCGCCTGGTTAATCCCACGCACGTGGAGCTACGCACGTCACGCTTTCTGCTACTCCTTGTCCGTGTGCTACTCCTCGCCTGTCATCCTCTCAGTTCTCCCTTCCTCCCTCGTAGCTTCCGAGCTCCTTCAAGGCTGGGCTCGCGGAGTGCGCAGTAGGCATTCCGTCAGTAACCCCTCAGCCCAGCCGAAGAGGTTAGGCCAGTGACGGCGAACCTGTGACACGCGTGTCAGAGGTGACACGCGAACTCATTTTTTTGGTTGATTTTTTCTTTGTTAAATGGCATTTAAATACATCAAATAAATATCAAAAATCTAAGTCTTTGTTTTACTGTGGTTGCAAAGATCAAAAAATTTCTAGATGTGACACGGCACCAGAGTTAAGTTAGGGTTTTTCAAAACGCTGACACGCCTGAGCTCAAAAGGTTCGCCATCACTGGGTTAGGAGATCCGTTGCTAGCGATAGGTTCCAAGACAGCTAGCTGGCCGTCCGAGGGCGCGGTGGGGGCTGGGGGGTGGGTTAGTGTGAGGCTGGAAACCTTGTCCGTTTTGCCGGTGTCCTTACGGCTCGATCGGAGCTTCCCCAGTCTTCATGGTGAGTTACAGCGATTGGCGCTGGAGCTGCTGGCGTGCCCGAAGGTGCCCACTGTCGGTCTTGGGGACGACTGCAGCCGGGGTGTTAATCACATGACCTCCCAGCAGTAGATGGATGGCCTGTCACGTAGCCCAGGCTCAAAAGTTAGTCTGAGCCTCGGGCTATTGCATTCGTTCAGGAAATATTAAGTTAATAACAACCTCCCCCCTCAAAATTTGTTTGTTTGTTTGTTTTGTTAACCCTCACCCGAGGATATTTCTCCATGGATTTTTAGAAAGAGTGGGAGAGAGAGGGAAAGACAGAGAGAAACTGATGTGAGAGAAACACATCGATTGGTTGCCTCCTGCAGGCGCCCT